GATTATACCAAAGGAGGGTTGCTAAGAGTTGGAGCTAACTCAATGGCACCTAATAACAACAATAAACAACATAGAAAAAGGGGCCCTCATGGTGCTATGGTTAAATGCTTGACTACTAGCCGAAAGGTCTGTGGTATCCCACCAGCAGCTCCATGGAAGAAAAGACCTGGCAATTGGCTCCCATAAAGATTATGGGAACTCTATGGGGCAGTTCTCCTCTGTCATATAGTGTTGCTATGAGTTGGAATCAACTTGACAGCACGTAGAAATGACGCCAGAAGGTAGGGAGGGCTACAGCTTTCTCAGATCCCTTTCAAATCTAAGAATCTATTAGGCCCTCCACAAAGGAGAAGGAATGTCTTGAATTAGGACCATCACCCATGAAGATTAAACTCACTGCCATTGAGTTGATTCTGAATCATAGTGACCCTACAGGACAGAGTAGAACTACCTCATAGGGTTTCCAAGACTGTAAATCTTTACAGAAGCAAACTGCCTCATCTTCCTCTCACGGAGTGGCTGGTGGGTTTGAACCACCAACATTTTGGCTAAGAGCCAAATGCTTTAACTACGCCACCAGAGTTCCCTCCATAAAGATTACAGCCCAGGAAATCCTATGGGGCACTTCTACTCTGTTCTATAGGGTCCCTATGAGTAGGAATTGACTTGATAGCAAACAACAATGCCTGGGAGGCAGGTGTGGGTGCAGGCTGGGTCCAGGTGTAGAGGAGGGAAGTGATGGCTACCTTGTCTTATCTAAGCCCCTTCCATCCAGTCCTGCCAAAAGATATTGAAGGTCTTCTCCCAAGACCCTCCTCCTCTCCACACTGCACGTAGGGAGGTGTGGAGAGCAAACTCCATTGCCCCCACCACAGATGTGTCCCCAAGTGCTACAATCGGAGCCACACCTTTGTGGGAGCCCCGGTTGAATTCTTTGAGCTTGGACCAGCAAGACTCACCCCAGGGGTTTTGAGTATGAATGATTCCAACAACGAATAGTCCATGAGGTCACGGTACAGCCCTTGGCACTCCAGCCCACTGACTGGTTTCCTGCCCTGGCGTATGAATCCTGAGCTATGTTTACAATTATTGCCTCTGGACACCTGTGTCTGTATCTGGTCAAATGTGGATGTCTGGCTCTATGCGTTAAAATCACAGCGGGAGTGCTTGTAAATATGATTATCTCTGTCAAGGTGATCTCAGCAGATTTGATAATCTATGAATTCTTTGTGTACGTGTGTCCATCTGTGTACGCATTTATGGAAGGCCACTGGTGTAAGACAGGGAAGATAGGACTTAGAATTCGGAGAAGTAGGTTCAAATCTCAGCTCTCTGCTTCCCAGCAGTTGGGTTTTGGGCAAGTCCCTTACTCTCAGAGCCTCAAATCTCCCACAACTAGCCTGACTCACAGACCAGGACAAAGATTAAACGCGATAACACAGATGAGAGGGCTCTCTGGATGCAGCTGGCACAGGAGAAAGTGAGTTGGTTTTATGTCTGTTTATAGCTCATTTCAAGGAACTCTGGGGGTGCAGTGGTTAAGCACTGGGCTGCTAACTGAAAGGTAGGTGGTTGGAACCCACCAGCTGCTCTGTGAGTGAAAGATGTGGAGTCTGTTTTGTAAAGATTGAATCTCCAAACTTTTGTTTAGCAGCTGAGCACATTATCCATTTTAACCACCTTAGCAGCCTCATGGATAATTCTTCCCTTACAACTGGGATGGGAAAAATACAGGGTATTATGAACCCATGAAGGAGCCCTGGTGGTTTAGTGGTTAAGCACTCAGCTGCTAACCATTTGGTGGTTCAAACCACCCAGTGCCTCCATGGGAGAAAGACCTGGTGATTTCCTCCAATGATTACAGTCCAGGAAACCCTATGGGACAGTTCTACTCTACCACATGGGATTGCTATAAGTGGAAAACGATCTTGACAGCACTGAATATCGTTGAATCCGTGTTGGTATACTGGTGTGTACATGTGCATCTCTGTGACACATGTATGTCTGGGGGTGTACCCACACCTACTCTCTCTCAGAGCAGTGGGTTATAGGTGTGTAGCAGTCGAGTATTTGTTAAATATCTATTTTGTGGAGGGGAAGCGGAGTGAGAAAATCTCTATGTGAGTCTGTGCAAGAGCAGTTATGGAGTAGAGCAGCTGTGTGAGCAAACTAGAAATGAGTTAATGCATGATGTCAGGGTGCAACTCAGAAAATAAACCAAATAGGCTGTGGGCTTGGGAAAAACAGCCCAACTTCCTACTCCACAGTAACTCAAGGTCAGTTTTGCGTGTTTTCTTTTGGTTGTTCATTGTTGTTTTTTACACGTCACTGGTATAGGTCATGTCTTTATCAGAAGTCATGTGATCTGCCAATCAGTTGGGCCTTTCTGAGCTGATTTGGACTTTGCTCTGAAATTCACCCTCCGCCAAGGTGGTAAACAAGTTTACAAGAGCTTCTGGGTCTCCACGCAATGCTGTTGTCACGGGGTTGCTGATCTGAAAGCACATACTGGGCAGAATGGGATTCCCCAAGGGTCAGAGAACACAGTTAGCACTGGGCAAAGCAGGGGCACAAAACAAGTAAAAAGAGGAAGGCAAGGAAATTCCTGCTTTGATTAATTCTGGGTAAGCAGGATCCTCCAATCAGAAAGTCTAGAAGGGCTTAATTTCAGCACATGTATTATGGCTGGGAGAGTGATATTAAAATGGAGTCCCTGGGTGGCGCAAATGGTTAATATGCTTTGCTGCCAACCAGAAGGTCGGATGTTCAAGTCCACATAGAGGTGTCTGGAGAAATTAGAAAAAATCTACTTCCGAAAAATCAGCCATTAAAAATCCTATGGAGCACAGTTCTTTGACACATATGAGGTTGCCATGAGTGAGTCCACTAGATGTCAAATGATTAAGAGTAAAACATGATTTCCTCAGGGCATGCAGAATACACCCTCAACAGAGAAGCACTATAGAGGTTTTTTTTTTTTTTTCTCCTGGGGCTGGTGGGTTTTCCCTCGTTGGCTATCCACCAACTCTCAGTCTCTGGGACTAGAGACCAACATGGAGGCATAAGAGTTTGCAGACAGAGTCTTTAGAACATTACAGAAGAAGAGCAGTCTGAGAGGTAGAAAGGAGAATGGGGCTAAGCTCAGTCACAGCTGCCAAGAGAGGAAAAGAGTTGCATGAGGAAGGAAATGGGACAGTGTTAAATGCTGGAGCATCTTTAGGTGGGATGAGGAATGGGAATAGGTCAGTGGATATGAAATTAAGAGGCCTTGGAAGATCCTGGAACCTCCCTTTTTTGGGGAAACACTCTTGGGTAGTGAAGGCTGCCTGTCAGCCCCTCCCATTCTCTCCCTGCCTCTGGGACACTACATTAGCTGCTGTGTTTGGTTCCTGGGCACTGGTTTTCCCAAGATAGGAGTAACCAAATCAAGATAGCTTTTTTTTTTTTTTTTAAATCATTAAAAAACTCTCAAAGCCAAACCTACTGCCATCAGGTTGATTCTGATTCATGGTGACCCATAGGACAAAGTAGAACTGCCCTGTATAGTTTTCAAGGCTGTAAATCTTTACAGAAACAGACTACCACGTCTTTCTCCCACAAAGTCACTGGGTGGGTTCAAACCACCGACCTTTGGGTTAGCAGCCGAGTGCTTAACTGCTGTGCAACCAGAGTTCCTTCAAAGAAAAATATTGCCCTGTGCAATTATATTGATGCTCTGACTAAAGGAAGCAGTGTGTCCTTTGAAAATGGTAGCAGGACACTGTGGTCATCAGCAAAGGTGAAAATGGTTGCCATAGCAATGACAGCTTCTTAATAGATTACTGGGCCTCTTTTCCCATTGGCAAGGTACAGATGCTCCAGCCCCTCCTTGCGATGGGTCCCCTCAAACCAAGTTACCACAAGAAAAGCAGTTGGGCTGAACAAAAAGATCCTGTGTATTCAGCTGGTTTTGTTGTTGAACATCTTATCTGCCAATCTCATCTAATTTGCTCTGACCACAGTCACACACAGAAAAAGCAGAGAGAACCCTGGCACTGTTCAGTAAATATTTCTGGCTCAGCTTACTTTGATCTGTAAATCAAACAGACCCTCAACCTAAACATATCCTCTCTTAAGACCATGTGCTACTAGAGAGCAGACAGCAGGGTAACGGAGACCAGAATATTCTCTTTGAGAACATGTCCTGCATCTTGTTCATTATTATATCCCTAGCACTGAGCATGGGGTCCCCAGGTGATACCAACTGTTAACTCACTTGACTGCTAACGAAAAGGTTGGCAATTTGAGTTCACCCAGAGGCACCTCAGAAGAAAGGCCTGGTGATCTGCTTCTGAAAAATCAGCCATTGCAAACCCTAAGAGCACAGTTCTACTGTGACACACAGGGGGTTGCTATGAGTTGGAATCGACTCACCACAGCTGGTACTGGTACTAGCACCGAGCATAATTTTGGATGCACAGTGGGTGCTTATGAAAACAAGAAAAAAATCTTTTCTTCTATAATTTCTTCTCCTCGTTCCACTCTGTACTGTGTTTTGAAAGAACAACCACACAGTAGCCTCTGAGGTAGGCAGTTTCCGTATAAGGTACTGGTATTGTTAAGGGTTTTCATTATAACCCAAGTGTTCCTTTTAGGGAACATTAAAATACAAATAAATGCTTCCAAGGTATCTATCTCCTCCCTTGGCCCATTTTCTCATTTCTTCCAAGGTTGTCCTCATGTGGCCACCCAGCCGTGCCAGTTCCAGTCCTGGCTCTGCTATTGACTAGCTGTAAGATCTAGGCCAGGACCTTAGTTTCCTCCTCTGGAAAATTGGCATAATGATATGCCCTCCCTCCCAGGGTTATTGAGGAGTTTAAATGAGACAACAGCACGAGAGGTTAACATGACTCTCATTAATGGGTGAAGGTGAATGGGCCCACCAGCCAGCATAATTAGCCTGCCACAGCAGTTTCTGACAGGCCTCTTCTAAGGATGCTGTTTGTTTTGGTTGCAGCCCAATGGAGAATTCACGGTGCCCGAGGAAGCTTTTGGCAAACAGGAGAGCTAGGTCTCTGGATGGGTCACGGATCCCCAGGAAGGACTCAGAATTAAGGGACTGCCAGTGTCTTTCTGTGCACACCGCCCCCTCCAAGAAGGTTCTATGCCGAACGGTCAGTGATGGGGCTCGACGTTCCAAGAACCCAGCTCAGCCTGTGGAGGCTCAGGGCACCACGACTGCTGCCCTCAGTTTGGAGGAAACCAAAGAGTTCATCCGCAGTGAGCAGAGGTCACCACAGGACACCAAGAAGGACAAGGCCCATAAGAAGGCCCAACCTGGGTGGCTGAAAACCCTGTTTAACTTCTTCCTGAGAACAAGCCCTGAGGAGCCCAAAGAGAAAGCCATCAGGAGGCCAAAGGGGAAGGACAGCCTCTTCCAGCCTGTAGAGTCCCCTGGGGAGCCAGCCAGTAGGAATAAATCCCATGACAAGAAGGCCAGTCGCAGGAAAACCTTTGGTCACAGGAAACATGTTGCTGAGGAAAGCAAGGGAGCTCAAGATCAGGTGGCTGCAACCCAGGAGGCCAAGATGGCTACCTCACATCCTGAGGAGGTAGACCTGGGTCCAGCTCACAGGGGTAAGCACATGCCTAATTTTATGGTAACCCCACTGTACATCTCCTCACCCAAGGGCTAGGGTACTCTAAGCTTGTTCCTCAAACCCCTCAACAGAGGGGACTTGGAGGTGGGGGAACTCTTGGGGGCAATGACACTGTGAAATTTTTATGTGACAGAACAGCACAGTAGTTGAGAACTTGAGATCAAATCTCAGCCCCGCCATGTGCTGGAGGTGCGACCTAGGGTTGACAATTCTTCTCTTTGAGCACCCCCACCCTTTTTTTTTCCCATTGGTATAAGGGAGATAACAGTTGCTGTCTCATGGGATGGTCACATGAGTGAAGCCAAAAACCAAACCCATTGCCATCAAGTCAATTCCGACTCATAGTGACCCTGTAGAACAGTATAGAACTGCCCCATAGAGTTTCCAAGGCTATAATCTTCATGGAAGCAGACTGCCATGGAGCAGCTGGTGGGTTCAAACTGTCAGCCTTTCGGTTGGCAGCTGAATGCTTATCCACTGCACCATAAGGGCTCCTTGGTCCTATGAACAGCGCTCAGTGAATAGTAGTTGTTGTTTTGAAGTACTATTGTTTGAGGAGTATAGTCCTAGGTTGTTGTTGTTGTTATGTGCCGTCGAATTGGCCTGACTCATGGCAACCCCTCCTTGGGTTTCTGAGGCGGTATCACTACGGAAGTAGATTACCCAACCTTCCTTCCGAGGAGTGGTCGGTGGGTTTGAACCGCCAGCCTTCTGGTTAGTAGTCAAGTGCCTTAAGCACTATGCTACCAGACTATTATGTGCCATGAAGTCAGATCTGACCCATAGCGACCCCTCCCTGGGTTTCCAAGGCAGTATCACTATGGAAGTAGATTGTCCAACTGTCCTTCCGAGGAATGGCTAGTGGGTTTGAACCTCCAGCCTTCTGGTAAGCATTCAAGTGCCTCAGGCACTACGCTACCAGAGCTCCTACCAGACTCCTGTTGTTGTTGTTGTTATTTGCCATTGAGTCAGACCCGACTCATAGAGACCCC